CATGCTTTGCATATGAGTATGAAAAAGGATGTGCACAGAGCGCTGCCGGTGCCCTCCCCGGGTTCCTTGACCTGCAGGCGCACTCCCTCCCTAGCTGCTATTGGTTGCTCTTGGCTCCTCGCTGTCTCCTTCTCGGGAACCTCCTTGTGCAGGAAGTTACACGGCCTCCCCCTCACCATGGGGCAGCACACAGGCAGTGAGTGATGAACATGGGGCACCAAAGACTGGCCCCCTTGCCTCGAGGCGGATCAGCACTGCGGTGTTATGTGGCATCAGATGGAGGCTAATCTCCAACAGAGAACACATAATTGCCTGGCTTTTCCTCCCCACTATCTGCCTTCCCCCGCCTCCTCTTTCACCTGGGAGTTCTCCCTCAATAAATCACCTGCATAGAACCCCAGGCCCCGCTTAGGAACCTAACCCAAGACAGGCACACACTAAGGGGGCGCCGCTCTGCCCAAACCGGTTTGGCTCAATGGATAGAGCATCAGCCTACGGACTCAAGGGTCCCAGGTTCGATTCCGGTCAAGGGCATGTTCCTTGCATGCCCTTGGCCGCGGGCACATCCCCATAGGGGGTGTGCAGGAGGAGCTGGTTGATGTTTCTCTCTCATCGACGTTTCTAGCTCTCTGTCCTTCTCCCTTCCTCTCTGTGGAGAATCAATAAAATATATATTTTAAAAAATGTATGAAGTTTTCCCAAATTGCTGTTCCACATAGTTGTACCAGTTTGCATTCCCATCAGCTCTTCCCCCCCCCCACCCCCCACCACATTCTCATCAATATGAGTGTTGTAGACCAATTTTGCCAATCAGATTGGTGCAATACTGATTCCATTGCTGTTTTTTTTTTTTTTTTTTTTTTTTTTTTTTAATATATTTTTATTGATTTTTTTACAGAGAGGAAGGGAGAGAGATAGAGAGCTAGAAACGTCGATGAGAGAGAAACACCGACCAGCTGCCTCCTGCACACCCCCTACTGGGGATGTGCCCGCAACCAACATACATGCCTCTGACCGGAATTGAACCTGGGACCTTCCAGTCCGCAGACCGACGCTCTACCACTGAGCCAAACCGGTTTCGGCTCCATTGCTGTTTTAATTTGCATTTCCCTGTTTCCCAGTGAGGCTGAGAATCTTTTTATGTCTTGATTAGCCATTCTCACTTCTTTCTCTTTTACCTGTCTGCTCAGATCATTTGCCCATTTCCTTATGGCTTTGGAAATGGATGCTCTGAAGTTTTAAAAGTCATTTTATTTTGGAAATGAATTCTCTTGTGGTTGGTTATACAGGTTGCAAGTAGCTTCTCTCAGTCATGGCTTTAACAATTTAAAAAAATGTTTTTTTGTCATACAGTTTTTTACTTTAATGAAATAAAGTTTATTGTTATTTTTCTTATTTCTGATTATTTTCTGATGAAGTTATTTTCCTGTGTTTTTAAAATACAGTTTTATAGTCTGCCTTTTACATTTAGGACTGTGATTACTGGGAACTTATTTTTGTGAGTGGAGTGAGTAAGGATCTAATTTCACATTTTTCCGGGGGACGGTATTTAATTGTCCTAACATCACCCATTACCCCTTGTCATGTTTTAAACTCTCATATATGTACATTTGGGTCCATTCCCAGGCCTATTCTCCATTCTCTCATTTGTTTCTCTATTCCTGGGACCAAATCAGATTGTTTCAATGATTAGAGTTTTATAATAATTATGATATCTGGCGGGGTGAGGTTCCCTTCCCCTTCCTCCCCTTTCTTCTTTAAAATCATCTTGGCTATGCTAGCTTCCTTATTATCCCATATACATTTTGGAATGACCTTGATACATTGCAGAGGAAACCCCTTTGCAAATTCTACTGGAAATAAAATCTACAGAGTAGATTGGAGGAGGCTGGCCAACTCTCTGACAAGGGGACTTCCCACCTGCCAATAGGGTTCGGTTTTTCTCCGACTGAATCCTTCCTCTCCTCTGCATCCCATCCTCCCACAGAGGGCTGCCCCGGAAGTGAGCCCAATCCCTTCTCACCCTTCAATGCCCAGCTGAATGCCTCCTCCTCCAAGAAGTCCTTGGAGATAACCCTGACATTGCAGTCTCTCCCTCTCCCTTTCCTTCTCCCTCTCTCTCTCTCTCCTCTAACCCATCTCAGTGCCCCATTTCCTGGACACTGAGCACACTGGGTCTGACTAAGGGAGCCACTTCTGCACACTGTGTCCCCAGCCTCTGAAGAGAGGGGGCTACATCCCCCCCCATCTCTGTTCTCCCAGTGGTACCCATGGCACAGTAGATGCCCGGTGGGCTCTGGATGATTGGACCTTAGGTAAGAGAAGTGTGTAAAATAGGTTCTTCCTCCATGGGGTGGGGCGGGGGTAGAGTTGGGGGTTTCTGGGGAGACACATCTGACTAAAGTCAGCTAGATCTAGCTCTGCATGCTGGTGCACTTCATGGGACAGTGGCCTCTCAGCATGGGCCCATCTGTAAGGTGGGAACAGCATTACCCATCCCATAGGGCTGCTGCGAACATAGCGGAGATTGTAGGACCACACCACAGGTGCTTTCTCCTCGCTCCGCTTCCCCAGCGTGAGGCAAGTACAGAGCCAGGACCCTGCCCTCAGCGGGAAGGCTGCCGAGAGCATTCCCTTGTTCACCAGTCAGACCCAGGGGCGCCTTCCCCAAATGCCCGAGCCATTGACTCCACTCTGCCCGTCTCCTGCCCAGCCTCTGATGCCACCCCCCCGCCCCCTGCTGCTGTGCCCTTTCCTGGAGCAGAGGTGGGTCCTAAGGAATATGCCTGCACCCCATCTTCCCTTCCCTGCCTCAGAGCACTCATCTTTCCCAATGGACCCTTGGGCCCCGAGTTGTTCCCATGAAGCGCTTCTTCCTCTTGCTATTCCTCTAGGGGCATCTTCCTTTCCCAGGAGGAACCGGAGGCCAGGGCAATGCCCGGCTGCCAGGAACTGCACTCCAGTGCTAAGCGACATTCACACATCTCGGGAGAGAGAATGTGGGGCTGATGGGGTGCTTCCTGGGGGAGCATGGGCTCAAGTTGGACAAATCTGGGCTCTGGTTCAGAACTTGATTTAGTTAAGTTGGCCTAAGACTCAGCCTCTCCATATAGACAATGGGTACATGGATCTGACCTCCTGGGGAGAGGAGATAAAGGAAGAAATGCATGACATGTATTAGGCAGCGGTCCAGCATAAGGTTGCCCCTTCCTTACAGGACGATAGAAATGGGGGGGGAAATGAGGGACGCAAGCAAAGATGAGGCAGAATTTATTCTCATTGTGGGCAAGTTCAAGACTCATGATGGAGACCACAGAGAGGCGGACATCTGGGGCCCTGGAGGGCACCTTGTGCCGGGGATAGGGGCACACTTTTGCAAGTGCCAGCCCCATGGGGTCCCCCGTGACTATGAGGATCCAGAGTCCAGACGCTGGGCCAGAGGGGGTTGGGGGTGAGAGGAAGACAGGTCCTCCCCAGATCCTGTCCTGACCATGTTTCCGACTTCCATAGGAAGGAAGAGCAGCTCGGCTATATGGTACCATATAGAGGTGTGGAGAGCTGGCCGCGGCACCTGGGCGGGGCTGACCCCCCGGATTATTGCAGGAGGGAGAGGGGGCTCGGTGCTGGTGGTTCCGAGGAAGAGCTGTGCTGGCTATAGGGCGGGCTGAGCAGGGGTCGGGGCTAGGCCCGCCCCTCCCTTGGGGCCAGCAGGGGGGACTCAGCATCCTGCCCCGTAGGGTTCCTTGGGCCCAGCCAGCTCCCCCTTGGGTGCAGCCTTCTCACCCTGGGTGCTTATGTGCTTTGAAGACCATGTTTGCATTGTCAGGAGTGAGGAAAAAATACCCTGACATGGTAGAAAAAATATATTTACATACCCTGGTGGGCCGTAAGGGAGGGGGTCAGTCTCTGAATGGAGGCCCTTCCCAAGTCCCCTCCCACCCAGAGCTGTCCAGGTGGGACAGGGAAGGGAAAGAGGCGTGGGAAGAGGCTCAGCTCTAAACGCGGCCGCGGTGTGCCTTGGACGAGACACGGTGCCTTGGTCTGCCCAGACGGCGCAGGAGCAGCGGACTTGATGGTCCCCGATTCCAGCCGGGGGCTGGGGCAGGGAGGTTGGCAGAGGGACCTCCAAATGCAGGGCCCTGGGCTGTGGAAGGGCATCAGAGACCAGAGGGGACTTGGTGGCTCCCTGGCCAGGCAGCCAAGTCCTGCTGAGGGCATCTCACCAGCCCTGTGGTGCTGCCTACGCAGAGGTGGCCAGAGGGGCTGGCCGGGAACCCTGTTTTCCTGTGGAAGCAGCGGAGGGAGCCAGGCGGAGGCTGCAGGCGGCCCCCCACCAGCTAGAGGGTGGGCTCAGACCTGAGATAGAGCCGGTTGTGGGGTCCCCTAGGGAGGAGACGAGGGTAGGCCTGGTGCTGGTGTGGTTCAGAAGCGGCCCCTGGCTCCGGCCTCCAGGCTTGGGGGGGGGGGTGCGGGGGCCTGGACCCACATTCGGTGGGCAGTCACCCCGAGGTCCTGCACACAGGCTGGTGACACTCTTCCTCATCCGTGACATGCCACCCACAGTCACATGTACACGTGCTCCCAGTCTTAATGAATAGGCCTGCTCCTGTCTTAAGGGCACACATCCATCCTGGGACCTGGCAGGTGGACACATACTGCACACAGTCCATGACCTTGTGAGAACACACCCCACACAGCACAGGAGCACGTGTATGCATACACACACACAGGCAGCTGGGCTCAGTGGCCTTGAGGCTCCAGTGTCCGGGGCAGACCAGGCCCTCTGCCCTGGGCCAGGTGGCCCAGCCGTGCAGGCACCAACGGTCCCTTTCAGGTGGCCTGACCCCGGATGACTCAGGTCCCGAGAGGGAGTCCTCAGCCTCACTGGTGCCTGGCAGGAAGGCAGCGAGAGAGAGGCACATGCCCGGGGCCACCCTGATCGCTCGCCAACCCTGCGAGTCCTCTGACAGTTGGCATGACCTGGGGCCGCGGGGGCTTGGTCAGAGGTGCCGGCGGGGCCCCTGGGTGCTGGTCAGCTGGGCCCTCATGGTCTGGATGCTGCCCAGGATCTTCTTCTGGTGGCCCATGAGGGTGATGCCCAGGGCACGCACGTCCCTGTGGAGGAAGGGGCGGTGCCGGCCAGGTTGGCTTGGGAGGCTGGGAGCCATGGAGGCAGGCCCAGACTCAGGCACAGACTCACTCCCTGGAGCGGCCTCTGGTCCCTTGCCCTCGCCCCTCGCCCCGGCCCCAGGGGACCGCCACTTACTGGGCGTTCATGCGCAGCACCATGCCCAGCGAGGAGTAACCGCCAGCGGCGAAATGGTCCCGGTAGCGGCCCATTCGGATGGAGTCCAGCCAGTCCCCCACGGTGAGGGCCCCACTGCCGCCCCCGCCCCCTCGGAGGTCAAAGCAGCTCCGGGCAAAGGCGGGGGCCGGGCACCTGAGGCACAGGAGCCCCAGGTCAGTGTTCTGCCAGGGCCTCTGCCTTCCTCAAAGACCCTGGCTTTCACCACCCTCAGCCTCCATCCAGGCCCAGCAGCGGGCAAGGTGCGTATAGGGGGAGACCCCAGGCTTGGGAGGAGAGGGCTGAGGAAGGCCCAGGCCCAATAGGGGTCAGTGCCCAGGTGGCACCTGGTCCAAGGGGAAAGGACAGGGTTTCCCAGGGACGGGATGAAGTCAGGGCCATGCAGAGAGGGCAGCTGGACAGGGGCAGAGCTGGGGTGGGCGCCAGGCACCTGCTGACCGTGGCCGTGGTCTTGAGACTCTCTGGACTGCGGATCAGCGCGTCCAGGATGCTGACAATCTGGGAAAAGCGAGGCCGCTGGGCCCGGTCCTTGTGCCAACAGTCCAGCATGAGCTGGTGCAGGGCCCGAGGGCAGCCCATGGGCGCTGGCAGGCGGTACCCCTCCTCCACGGAGCTGATGACCTGGGGGAGGGGGAGCACAGGCTGGGCTCGAGGCTGCGCTGCCCATAGGCTGCCCTGCAGCTGCCCGGCAAGGGCCCCGCACTCACGTCCCGGTTGGTCATGTTCCAGTAGGGCCGCTCCCCGTAGGCCAGCACCTCCCACATGACCACGCCGAAGCTCCACACGTCGCTGGCCGAGGAGAAGGTCCGGAAGGCGATGGCCTCGGGGGCCGTCCAGCGGATGGGGATCTTCCCTCCCTGCGAGGGACACAGAGACGGTAATGGCATCTCCTCAGCCCGGGCTGGGGGCAGAGCCCTGGGGCCCTGTTTCTCACTGGGGTCTCCTGCCAAGCAGTCCGGGGATGGGGGGTTGGGGGGGGAGACACACACAGCCGGGGGCCTGGGGAGGAGGACGGACCAGGGAGACCTGCCCCCGGAGCTGCCGTGAAGACGGAAGGAAAGAAAGGTGCTAGTGCCTGGCACGTAGTAGGCTCTCAGAAAATATCAAGGCCTGAGCCAGGAAGGCAGCTCAGAGACCATGCACTCCTCTCCCTCCCTCTCTCTCTTTTTGGGGGGCGGGGTGTCACAAATCCTTCCTCTAAGTGAGGTCTTATTTGGAGGCCCAGAGGATGAGATGCAAAGGGAGGTTCTGACTGAGGCAGGGGTGGGGGCCCGAGCCTTTGAGGCAGCCCCTCAGGTACCTCCACGGAAGCCCAAAGCTCCATAAAACACATTGTGAAAATGCTTCTATGTAGCCACACTTCAGAGAGACAAACGCGCGGGGTCCATGTGTTTCAGACGGACGCTAACTCTCCCACAATCTCCCAGCGGGGGGCAGTGGGGCCCACCCCGGGGTCCACAGCCACCAGGGACCAAGGATGGGGAGGCCAGGCTGCTCCCCTTTCCGAGGGGGACACATCTCTGTGGGTCCTCCTCAGAGGACAGGGTGTGTGTGTGGGGGGGGAGGAGGGGGTCACCCTCTGTTCCCGCCGCCCCTCCCCGGGCCCATCGGAGGGAGTGGGCCACACACCGTGGTGGTGTAGGCGGCGTTGGGGTCATTCTCCAGGACCCGCGAGAGCCCGAAGTCGGACACCTTGCAGACCAGGTTGCCGTCCACCAGGACGTTGCGGGCGGCCAGGTCGCGGTGGACGTAGCCCAGGTCCGAGAGGTAGCGCATGCCGGCGCCCACGCCGCGGAGCATGCCCGCCAGCTGCGTGATGGTGAACTGCCCGTCGTGAGTCTGCGGAGGACACGGCCTGGGCTGCGGGGAGGCTCTTCGCAGCTCGCCAAGTGCTTCTCGGCGTAGGGAGCACGTGACGGGGTCAGGTGTGTTCCCATCCCCCGCCCCACCTCCCCCGCCCCCCAGCAGCCCCGAGAGGGAGGAGGTGGGGCAGGGAGGACAGTGCATCCATTTTGCAGAAGAAATAAAGGCCCAGAGAGGCCAAGCCCTGTGTCTCGGAGCACCCAGCAAATGAACGGCTGGGAGGGCTGGGAGGCTAGGGATTTCCACCACAACCAACATGCCTCCCATCGGGGTGGGGCCCTGGACCCCACGGAGGCACCAGGACCCCATGCAACGCAGGGACTCCCACGTGGTGGGGTCAAAGGCAGTGCGCCTGGCTGACCGCTAAGACGGCAGCCGGCTCTCCCTTCCCCAGGGCTGCTGGGTCCAAGTTTCCGGGGTGCCTGGAGGCCTAACATGATTTCCCGACACCCAGGCTGACCGCCCCTCTCCCAGTGCATGTGACAGAGGAGGGGCACGCACCCTCAGGAAGGCGTCCAGAGAGCCGTTCTCCATGTACTCGGTCACGATCATTGCCAGGCGGCCTGGGGACGGGGCGGGAGACAGAGGTGCTGGAGCAGGTGTCAGGGCTGCCGATCAGAGACCCGGGGGTGTGTCCCTCCAGGAGCTGGGCCAGCACGGAGGGCCCGGGGAGCCAGGGCCCCTCCTGGGTCCCAGACGCTGGGCCCCTTCCTGAACGAGCCGTCCGAGGGTGTGAGCTGGGGCCCGGACGGAGCAGGTGGCGTGGGGATGGACCAGAGCCCTGCCCTGGGCTGCACGCAGGGGCCCTGCAGGGCGAGGCCGCCTTCCCCGGGCACCTACCACGCGTGACGACGCCCTCCAGGCGGATGATGTTGGGGTGGTCAAACTGGCCCATGATGGACGCCTCGCTGAGAAAGTCCCGCCGCTGCCTCTCCGTGTAGCCGGCTTTGAGGGCCTTGATGGCCACGGGCATATCCCGCTGGCCTGGCACCCGCAGCCGCCCGTAGCAGACCTCTCCCGACTCTCCTGTGGACCGGGAGCGGGCAGGCGGGGAGGGCAGTATGGGGGAGGCAGCGGTACCTCCTTCCTTAGCCGGAGCCCCCCCCCTCCCCCCCCACCCCAGCCTCACCCATGCAAGTGCCCCCCTGGGGCCTGGCCATCCCAGGCAGCTGGCTCTTCCTTCCCCAGGGCTGTTGGGTCCAAGTTCCCCTCACCCCCTGCCCTGGTGCCCTCCACGCCGTCCCCCCCGGCCCCCGGGGCTCACCGGAGCCGATGATTTTCTCAATGTGGATCCTGGAGGCCTCGATCTCGCGGGTGAAGCTGCGGCCCGCCCGGCCCGGCTCCTCGTAGGTGTGGGGCTCCGCGTAGAACTGGGGCTCCGGGATCTTCCCCCGGGGGTGGTGCAGGGGCAGGAAGACAGGTGGGGGTGCTGAGGGGCCGGGGCAGAAGGGCCTTCAGCGGGGTCCCACAGGCCTTTCCCTCCCAGCATCCCGTGGGCCTGGGCGGGTCTGGGGGGAGGGGAAGGAGTGTGTCTGGGAACCTCAGGGTGTGGGGGCAGCCACGAAGCGCCCAATGTGTACGAGCCAAGTGGAAGCAGGGTCTCTGTGGGGTATCTCTGGGGTCTCTAGGGACCTGGGGAGGGAGGGGGGTCCTCCAGTGGGTCTGGAGAACGCCTGTCATTTTCTGGGGTCACCTCTGGAGTCCACCTGCTAAATGGTTCTGGGGTAAAACGTGACCCAAAGGATTTCATTACACGTGCCAAGTTAGACGGACTGAAAACGGTTCTCTAGCCAACTGTGTTAAGAAGGGTTCTGTGGCCGAAACCGGTTTAGCTCAGTGGGTAGAGCGTCGGCCTGAGGACTGAAAGGTCCCGGGTTCGATTCCGGTCAAGGGCATGTACCTTGGTTGCGGGCACATCCCCGGTGGGGGGTGTGCAAGAGGCAGCTGATCAATGGTCCTCTCTTATCGATGTTTCTAACTCTCTATCCCTCTCTCTTCCTCTCTGTAAAAAAAAAAAAAATCAATAAAATATGTTTTAAAAAAAAGAAAAAAGAAAAAAAAAGGATTCTGAGGCTGCATTCAGGCGGAATGGGAACCAGTACCGTGCCGGATACCAATGTCCACCTGGGCCCAGGAGTGGGGTATGGAGGTAGACACCCCCTGTGTTTGCTTCTGGGGTCTCTGCAGGGTCCTGAAAAAACTCTCTCCAGCAGGGTCTTGTCCAGGAACATGGGAACCTCCCCGAGGTTGTATGCAAAGCTGCGTGTGAGCGCGCACGCGTGTATGCTTCCCTGGGGGCGGACTCCTCGCATTGTCAGCGGGGTCTGTGAACCCAGGAAGGGGAACTGCACTGCCCCTGCCCCTGTGGGGCCTCAGGTCTCTGTGATGTCCTGCTGCTATCTCTGGGGCTCTGGTCTTTCTGTGGGCACCAGCCAACCCTGGTTCCCACCGGGACCCCCTCTTTGCCCTCAGATCGCGGTCCCCGCACTCACCCTGCCCGTTCTGGTAATGCATCTTCTCCTCATCCGAGTCCTGGAAAGCCTTGCTGTAGCCACAGTGCCTGTGGAGGATGCGCGCAGCTCTGCCCGGGGCCACGCCTCCCCGGACCCACCGGGACCCCATTCAGGCAGGACGCCCCTCCCCTGCAGGGCAGCCCCTGACACCCCAGGCCCTGCCCCTGCTGCCGGGAGTCCCCACCCTCAGGCTCTCAGCTCAGCTGAACTGGGATGTCCTTGACATTTATAAAACCTTCATCAGTTATACAGTCAAGTCCACTTAGCCCTCCCAGCAAAGTCTGTGGGTGATCAGTCCCTTTTCTCATGAAACTGTCCTTGGGGAAGGGCTGAGAGATGAGGCGTCTGAGGCCAGCTCTGCTGCGTGGCCTTGGCAGGCCCCTTCCCTTCCCTGGCCTCAGTTTCTCCACCTTCTGGATGAGCCCTCCGATTCTCGCTGCCGGGGACCCTAAAGCCATGGGAGCACAGAGTCCCATCCCCCCTCCTCTGGAACGGAGGGAAGACGCGGCAGTGACTCGGAGCTTGGTATTTCGTTGAGAGAGACCTGGGTTCCAGTCCCAGTTCTGGCATCTATTTGGCAAGTGGCCTTGACCTCACTGACCTCCAAGCTACTCACCTGCAAAGTGAGGTCAGACTCTCCCCATCACGGGAGGGTCATTAGGATGAAAGGAGATGGAGGTGGATGCTGAAGGGTGACCAGTAGGACGTGCTAGTGCAGTGTTTCCCAAACTTTTGACAATATGGGTACCCCTTCTATCATTTTCGTAACACTGAGTACCCCTCGTACTCGTGAGAACGTAGAATTAGGCGCAGCTAAGCACGGTGCAGTGCATATCCCCACCAAACTCCGGTGCAACGCGTACCCCCACCAAACTCTTCCCGTGCTCCTGGGGGTGCGCGAACCACACTTTGGGAAACACTGTGCTAGTGGATGGGTGTGGCACGGGAGAGAGAATGACAACTTGGGTGGGCCCTGGAGGAACCCCATGAATGGCGGTGCCACGTCCTAAGGCTGGGCGGCCTGTGGTGGTGGTGGGGGGCGGGGGGGAGGCAGGCTGGGGAGGTGCAGAAGGGGCAGAGATGCGGTGGGCAGCCCAACCTCCGGGGAGAGGTCTGCGCTGTGGGACACGAATTGGGGGCCGTCAGCGGGAAAGCGGAACTGAGAGCCGTGGGCCCTGACAAGGCCGCGCAGAGAGACGGGCCTGGGAAAACGAGAGGAGGGGAAGGCCCGGGAGGAGCCCAGGCCTGCCAGCCTTTAGAAGCAGTTGGGAAGGGAGGGGCAGGGGAGATGGAGGGCAGGCCAGAGATGTGGACAAAAGTGTGTGTGGCCAAAACCGGTTTGGCTTAGTGGATAGAGCGTCAGCCTTCGGTCTAAAAAGTCCCAGTTCGATTCCGGTCAAGGGCAGGTTCCTTGGTTGCGGGAACATCCCCAGGAGGGGGTGTGCAGGAGGCAGAAGGCAGCTGATTGATGTTTCTCTCTCATCAATGTTTCTGACTCTCTATCCCCCTCTCTTCCTCTCTGTAAAAGAATCAATAAAAAAACAAACGAAAGAACTGTGTATGTATTGGGGGGGGGGAGAGATAAGGGGAGGCCAGAGAATAGTGCCCCCTCCACGAAGGAGGACAGAACAGCGGTGTTCTGTTCCCGGGCCCCAGCCCAGGCACAGGAAGCAGCTCGGCGCTCCTGGGGGGGGGGGGGGGGCGCGGGGAGGGGTAGAGAGAGCCTTGGAGGGGCTGAGGCCCAGGACTGCCCACCTCTTCTTGCAGATGAGCAGGAGCAACAGCACCACCAGGCCGGTGATGAGGGTCAGGCAGATCCACACGATGGTCCGGGTGTCGTAGCGGGGCCCTGCCGGGGACACGGGGTGGGCGAGGCGCTCAGCCCTGGCCCGGGGTCCTGGTGGCTCTCCCCGAACCTGGGGGGCGGCCTCTTCGGCTGGGAGTCAGCCGGGAGCCAGGACACAGGCCGCTTCCCCTGACCCCGCCCCTCCTCTCCGAAGCTTCTCATTCAGGACCCTGCTGCCCCCGGCTTCCTGGCGTCCCACCCCGGGGCTTCCGCTTCCCGGGGCTGTGTGACGGGGAGAGAGCTGCTGGACTTCTCTGAGCCTCCGTTTTGTCACCTGTCATAGGAGTCAGAAAGTGCCCATCGAACCTTCCAGGCTTAATGAGCCCTTCCTCCTCTCTCCCAGGGAGATGTTACCATCTCACCCAAAGCCACACAGTGGGACCAGTGAGATGTGCTAGTGGATGCGGCAGGGCCGGGCTCCTGTCCGCACAGGCTTGCCGCGGTGTCAGCCCTGGGAGCGAGGGAGGCACAGCGCCAGGAGTGCAGGGGGCACAGCCATGAACAGCCTGGAACCCTCCTGTCCTGGCTCCACCCCCGGAGGCTGCCGAGGGCAGGAAAAGGCCCCGGCTGGCTGCAGATGGGGCCAAGGTGCATCCAGCTTGATCTTGTGGGCTCGATAAAATCTACATTGTTCGCCCCCCACCCCAGGGTTCCTGATTAGAGAATCGGCATCTTCAATAGCTCCCAGGTGCTGCTGACACTGCAGTGGGTCAGTGGGATTCCACTGCTCCAGAGGCTGGCGGTGCGTGATGGGGAGGAGGGAGGGGCACAGACTGACCATGTTCAAATCCTGCTTTGGCCGAAACCGGTTTGGCTCAGTGGAGAGAGCGTCAGCCTGTGGACTGAAAGGTCCCAGGTTCGATTCCGGTCAAGGGCATGTGCCTTGGTTGCGGGCACATCCCCAGTAGGGGGTGTGCAGGAGGTAGCTGATCGATGTTTCTAACTCTCATCTCTCTCCCTTCCTCTCTGTAAAAAGTCAATAAAATATATATTTTACAAAATCCTGCTTTGCTGGGTAACTCTGGGCAATTCGCTGAACTGCTCTGACCCTCGGCTTCCTAGTCTGTAAAACGGGGACGTGGGCAATGCCAACGCCCTGGAGGGCCTCTGGGACGATGACCAGGATGTCCGGCTGGCACAGGGCATCGTGATGCCTGCTAGTCACACTGACCCTCAGGAGAAGCCAGGGTTTAGGCTGTGAGGAGCTCGGTTGCCTTGTGCAAGTCACTTCCCTTCTCTGAACCTCAGCTACTTTCAGCTGTGAACATGCCGGGCCAGCACAGGCACCGGCTGGCCAAGGCCCCTTCCTCCGACCGCCCAGCCCGGCCCTGCTCCCCGGCCCTCCCTGCTCTCTGCACTCACGTGGCTTCCCCGTCTCCACCTCCATGGCCTGGCTGAAGCGGCCGCAGCCTGCCGAGGTGCGGGCTCGGACCTGGAACACGTAGCGGGTGCCCGGCTTGAGGCCTGAGACCGTGGCCCTGGTGGTGACGGCCTTGAGGGTGGAGTAGCTCTGCATCTCCTTGTCCTGTCCACAGAGGGGGGCGCCGTCAGCCAAAGGCACCCCGCCTGGTGCGGCCCCCACACCCCCCACCTCCCGCGGCCGGAGGCTGGTACCTTCTCGTAGTACTTGATCTCGTACTCCAGGATGACGCCATTGGGCTGCTCGGGCTCCTGCCACAGCAGCGCGACGCTGGTCTGCCCTGCCCACTCCTGGCGGATCACCACCACCTGGGACGGGGCTAGGGTGGGAGCAGGCCTCGATCAGATGGGCGGGTGGGGGATCGCAGGGACCAGCCTCTGTCCCACCCCTTCCCAGGCCCTGTGCGAGCCATGCCGGCTGGCTGGCCTGCTTCTGCCCCGGGAGAGCCCGCCCCCTCCAGTGCTCCTGGCAAATCACAGGCTGCCGCCTGGTCAGTCACCTGGGCTCTCTCTGCACCGCTGCCTCTGGCCTGGGAGGTTGGGGGGTGGCTTGACCCAGACGAAGCCCCGGCTTTCACTCCTCTACCTTCTCCTCTCTGGCCAGGCCCTGCCACTGCAAGACCAGGACCCCAGCAGCCCCAGCAAGCAGCTGTTCTCGCCCACTCTGGGGCCCCATCACCTGATGTTTCTATCGCCACGTCTCCCACCCTAGCCCTCTGGCCATAGCTCCCAGGGATGCCTGAGGGAGGAGGAGGAAGGGAGGAGGAGGGAGAGAAGAGGAGGGAGGGAGGGCGTGAGTGGAGGGAGCCCGCACCCTCACGGCCGGGTTTGGGGTATGCTCAGGACAGATCAGTATACTTCGGGAAGGGACATGAGCCGAGCCTGGCCCATTCGAGCTCAAGTATTCTCACAGTCACACGAAGACACCCTCCTTCACTGACGGACTCACCCGTTCCCTCCACCCTGCACGGCCACCCTCCGTCCTGTGTCCAGAGCATCATCCTGGAGGGGGGTCTGCTGCAAAGTGCCAGACAGACACCCAGCCACGCCAAACACCTGCAGGGATTCGAACCCCTCTCCCTGTCCCTCCAGCCCGCAGGTCTCCCTCCCTCCCCCCCTCTGCGCACCCCACACCTCCTGTGTCCCCCACCTGCCTCATCTCTGGGCATTTTGTCTCTTGGGAGGCCTGGGAGCCCCTGAAGGCAGAGACCACACACACTAGCTGCTCAATACATGCTGGACTTGGCCATGAGGAATTAAGTGCAATTCAAGTTCAGTTGGAGGGTGTGGTACATAGGTGTCCCCACAGCCTGGGACTCCCAGCCCCGCCTCTCTCTGGCTGGCTGGGTCTCATGGCTGCAGCTTCTCCATCCAGGCAGCAGCTAAGCTAGCAAGCCAGTGGGCATCCCTGCCAGGAAGACTGAGGACCAGATGAGACCATTGCAAGGCAACGAGCACACGGAGCCAGGAATACGAACACCTCCTAAAGAGGAAGAGATTGCCAGGCAACAGCGTGAGTGGGGCAGACAGACGCACAGGGAGAGCAGCAGGCCCAGGTGGGAGGGAAGTGGGCGGGGCACCAGAGAAGGCTTTGGGTAGAGAGGGGGTTGTGGAGAAGAGGTGAGGGCAGGAAGGGGAGCCAGTGGTCTCTGAGGATACACCTTGACCATTTGCTCAGGGCTGTGGAGCTGTGGGGGCCACTCTATCGTGCCCCTAGGGTTTCTTGAATGCCCACTGCAGGCCCAGCACCGGGCAAGGATCAGGGACCAAGACAGCCTTCCAGGCGCTCCCGGTCTACAAAGGGAGACAGTGAATAAGAAACCAAGTCCGTGCAGGATGACAGGTCGGTGAAGTGGGAGCTGTGATGGAAAGGGCCGCTGTGATGGAAAGGACCGCCCGCAGGGGCCAGGAGGGACCTGCCATGTCAGCTGGGCTGGCCAGGGTAGGCCTCCCCGGGGTGGGGATGCCAGTTGAGCTGAGGACGAGGACGGAAGGAGCCAGCCATGGGGACGTCATGGGGAGGAGCATGTTATTGCGATGGAGAAGCAAGGTCAAGGCCCAGCAGGGGGAAGGGCTTGGTGTGTTCAAGGAAGGGAACCGAGGCCCATGTGGCTGCAGGGATGAGCCAGGCAAGAGTGGATGGGGAAAGGCTGGAGAGGCAGGCAGGGGCAGGTCATGTGAACAACTAGTAAACACTAGTAAAGTTAGGCAACCACCCTCACGGATGGGGATATTTGCAAACAATATTTCCGATAAGGGGGCTACTACCCAAAGTATACAAAGAACTCACACAGCTTCACAACAGAAAAACAGTCTGAATGAAACATGGGCGGAGGACCTGAACAGACAGTTCTCCAAGGGAAACACGAAATAGATGGCCAACAGACATATGAAGAGACGCTCCACTCCACGATGCCGAGGGCAAGGTAAACCATAACCACAACGAGACGCCGCCTCCCAGCGGTTAGGACGGCCATTATCAACTAGACAGGAAACAGCGAGCGCTGGAGAGGACGTGGAGAAATCTTGCATTTTTAAAGCTCCCTCAGCATGTGGTGTGAGAACCATTTATGGGCAAGGCGGGCGGGGGCTCCTGCGGTTGTCCAGGCAACACGTGATGGGGACACGGGAGGTGCTGTGGGTGTTAACTGTGTCCCCTCTCCCCCCCATGTATATATTGAAGCCCAAACCCCTCATGTGACCACTGGAGCTGGACCTTCAGGAGGTAATTAAGTTAAGATGAGGTCATGGCGGGGGGGGGGGGGGGGGCTCATATTGGGATTGGTGCCTTTATGAGAAAAGATAGCAGAGAGTTCACTTGGGGGTGAGGCGATGTAAGTTCGATTCCCAGCTCCGCCACCTCCCATGGGCTGATGCTGGGGGGCGCCCTGCACCTCCGTTTCCGGCTCTGGGACTTGGTGGGAGAGGTGTCTGCGGGGCCTGTGTGGTGTGGGGAGGAGAGGATGGGGCGCGGTGGGGGTCCGGGGCACAGTGTGTGAGATGGCTGCTGACAGGGAAGCTGGCTGCCACTGTGGGCTCAGGCCAGGCTGTCCCCTGACGGGCAGGACCCACCAGAATTTGGAAAGAAAGAGGTCCCCGTCGCTAAATTCAGTGCAACAACTGGCCAGAAACAGAATTAAATGTCCAGACCAAGAGACCAAGTCCAACCTCGGATCTTAAGGAAACAGCACGGCGGACTCTCAGTCCATTTTCCTCTCCTTCTCTTAAGCCTCTGAACGGTGCCTCAGGCAGGGACTATCTATGCCAGTGCACCAGGGAGGAAGCAGCGGCAGAGAGGGGAAAGTTCTGGAACCCACGCCTAGGATGGCCCTGAGCACCTGCCTCTGTGCTTTCTGGATCACAGGACTCGCCCTACTGCTCGGAGGGAGCCCGCAGCTCCAGGTCCTGGTGAGCAGGGCAGGGCCAGGGAGGCAGGCGCCAGCTAAGACCACAGCAAGCCTGTGCGACGTGCGGGGGGGGGGGGGGGGGGGGCTGGGGGGAGGACAGGGCCAGGGAAGCCGGGCACGGAGCGTCTCCGCCTACCTGCCTGGTTCGTGGTGATGTTGACGACGGCGGCCTGGCGGGGCTCGGGGCTCTGGTTGGACACGCCGTTGACGGCCTCTATCCAGAAGGAGTAGTTCATGTGGGCCAGCAGGTTGGCCACCAGCAGGCTGGCCTGCACCAGGCTGGCCTGCTGGGGCACGAAGCGGGTGCGGCTCCCGCACTCCTCGCAGCGGCCCAGCGCCCAGGGGCAGCGGCGGCACACGGCGTTGTAGGTGATGTCACTGCGGCCGCCCGGGTCCAGCGGGGGGGCCCACTCCAGGGTCACGGAGGTCCCGTTCACACTGGAGATGAGATTCACCGGTGCCGAGGGCGGCCCTGGGGGCAGGGAGGAACAGGGGGGGGGGGGGGGTTGAAGGGCATTTATTTGGGGGTGGTCCAGTTCCCCCCCCACAGACCAGGGGAGGTCTCTGGCTCCCCCATGATATTCGGGGTTCCCTAAGGTCATACCTACTCTATGTTCTAGGACCTTGGTCAGGTAAACTGTGGCTCAAGAGCCACACGCAGCTCTTTGGCCCTTTGGGTGTGGCTCTTCCACAAAATACCACGGCCTGGGCGAGTCTATGTTGAAGAAGTGGTGTGAGAAGAAGTTTATGTTTAAAACATTTGGCTCTCCAAAGACATTTCAAGTGTTGTACTGTTGCTATTTGGCTCTGTAGACCAATGAGTTTGCCGACCACTGGCCTAGGAGCACAGTGAGTGGAGGTGAGGGTGGAGGCAGTGTCTGCCATTGGGCTGGGACCACAGGGCCACGGTCTGTCACAGAGACCTAAGGCCCCCCTCCCTCCGCTGGACAATAGGGAGCCTGGGGCTTGTGCTTCCCAATGGGTTTGAAAAGAGCCGGAAAGAGACTGCACAGCCCTGGGGGTGCCCACAGCAGCCACTCGGGGTGTGAAACGTCCCAGTCATTGGTGCCCACACTCCACTCCTCTTCCCCCTGAGCTGCATGGCATGTAAATGCCACCGAGCACTGGGCTGAGTAGAGTGAGGCCCCAGGAAGCCCAGTGGGGGTCCCCAAACTCTCCCTCCCCCCAGATGAGAGCCCCCCTCTGAGCAGTGTAGAGCCTTGGAGAGGGCGGTGGGGCTGGGGGGAGCCTCTGAGGAGGGGATGGGAGCCTTGGAGCTAGGAGAGCCTGGGAGGGAGCAGGCTGTGGAGGCCCCTGGGCCTGAGAATTCCAAGTCTCAGAATGCCAGGAAGGCAATCTTCCATCTTAAGAAAACAGCGCGGTGGAATCTCAGAATCATGGAGAATCTTCGATCTGAAGGGAGTGGAATACCAGAAGCCGCGCCTTATGATTTCTGGAGCCCGGACTGTGCATTTGGAGAGAAACCGGAGTCTAGGGCACGTGTCCACCACCTACACAGGCTGGCTTTCCTGGGCCGGGAGCCGAGATGTCACCATGCCACTCAGACATCCGTTCTGCAAGTCCCACAGGCACAGGTGTGGGCAGAATGGTGGAGTGTGTGTGTGTGTGTGTATGTGTGTGTGTGTGTGTGTGTGTGGTGTGAATACACTTGGGCCCTCCCTTGCCTTGTGCAAGGAGCCCGGGGCTGGGTGGTGATGAAGGTGGGGGCAGGGAAAGAAGGGGATCAGGTTGGGGTAAATTCTGGGGCAAGATCGGTCAGAACCGTGTGAAGTCCGCCTTGTCCCCCCACAAGAGCCCAGGGCTGGCACGTGGGGTGGCGGTGCTGGCTGCAGCCCCTCCCCAGCTGGGAGGGGAGGCGAGAGGCCCCTGTAGGCTGGGGGACAGGAGGAATGGAGGAGCTGAGTAGTCAGACAGTCTGGACAAGTAGGCGCGATGCCTTCTGAGTCACCTCAGGGACCCGGGGCATGCACACACGCACGCAGCGACCACCCCTGCTCCAGCACACGCTTCCCCGGCAGGGCCGGGAGTGTACACGTGGCGCTCACAAGGCTCTACTGGGGCTCAGGAGTCCCCTACAGGTTCCCAGACATGTGCACAGGCCCCCAAAGAGCCCCTCACACGCGTGGTTCTGGGGTCCGGGGCTGGTACTCACGGGTGCAGGCTGCAGACGGCGGGTCCAGGGCTGCGCGGTAGTAGCTGAGGTCACAGCGGCAGGCCTGGGTGGCAGGGGCCGCCGAGTGGCTGTGGGGAGGACAGCGGGCACACAGCTGATCCCCAGGGGCCGACTTGTAGAAGCCCAGCTCACAGGCTGTGGGAGAGAAGGTGGCTGGAGGTAAGCCAGCTGGTCTCGGGTACAACTCTCACTCTGACCCAGGCATCCGGGGGGCGAGGGGTCCCCTGAGGGACAGAGGGACAGACCTTCAGCACCCCCCGTCCTGCCTTTGTTTGCGAGGGGGGAACTGGAACACAGAGAGGACCGGTGACTTACATAGGGCTGCAGGGCAGGTTGAAGGCAGAGCTGAGCCTGGGACCCTGACAACTGAGTCCCAGCCCCAGAGGTGGCACAGCCCCGCCCACCAGGCCCTGTCAATCACAGGACACTGGTCTTGCATGAGACACAGCCTCGGGGGCAGGGCCAAGAGACTAAGAATCAAAGGGGGCCAAAGCCCAGGATGTCACTTAGGCCGGACATGACAATGGGACAGGGAGTGAGAGTGGGCAGACACTGAATGGAGAAGACACGTGTGTGTTGGGGAGGGGGAGAAGGGGGACAAGGGGGAAAGAGGGCTGGAAGTCTGTGTTTTATAAGCTCTCCATGCAATGCTGACCATTCAGGAATTGCAGGCCCCTGGACCCTCTCAGATCATGTCACTGTCATGGCGGCTGCCACGGACTTGTCTCCTACGCACCCCTCTCTCCAGCCTCTGCCTAGTCTCCCACCTGGCTTACTCCGCAGCCTCCACACCCGGCCTCCTGCCCTGCTGCCCCAGCCCCAGCCCCGGCGGCTGCGTGAGCACCTGCCCGGTGCCAGGCACCGACCGGGCGTTGGAGGCACGGCCATGAACCAGACCCATGGGGTCTCTGCCTTCAGGGAGTGGCGTTTGCGGGCACACCGTAACCAGGCTGTGATCTTTCCAGGAAGGAAATAAAGGAGCAGCTACCCCCTCCCCCGAGAAGGAGACAGGCGGTAACATGTGAGCTGTGGCCGAAAGGACAGGAACGAGTCAGCCGTGCCAGGACCAGGCATCCTATAAGGACACCTGTCCCTGTCACTGCCAGTCCCAATCCTATGGGCTCCCATAAGCCTGGCCCCCCACGCCCGCCCTGCAGCCTCCCCTAGCACCACCCCCACTCCCGACCCTCAGGCAGAACTGAGGGACTGGCCGTTCCTCACACCGGCAGGCTGTTTTCCTCCTCAGAGCCTTCTTCCTGCGATGCCTTTTCTCCTTTGTCCCCCTGTCCAACTCTTCCAAAGTTCCTTTCAACCGTTTCTTCAATGAAGCCTTTTCAGACCTCCACACACACACACACACACACACACACACGGCCACACACACACACACACACACACACACACACACGGCCACACACACACACACACACACACACACACGCGCGCGCACACACGCACACACGCACACATAGGAGCGACCACTGCCCTCCCTATTCCGCCTGCTCAGTCTCGCCACCCGCAGCTCGATGCTGTTCCTATTTATTGGTGTGTCTCTCTCCTCCTGGACCAGAAGGTCCCTGTGGGCAGATGCTTGTGAGTAAGGCCCAGGCCTGCCCTATTCATCCCAAAGCTCCCAGCGCCCGGCCAGGAGGTTGCCAATGCCCGTGGGCGTTTCCCAAGTGAGCGACTCCCACCGTTATCTGCTCCGGGCAGAGACACCGGCCCTTCAGGAGCCCCAGTGCCTCCCAGCCAGGAGCTCCCAGCTCCGCCCTGGAGCGGAACCCTCTGCACCAGGGACCCCCAGGGAGCTCATGAGGCTCTCTTTCCTCTCAGTCCTGTTCTAGAAGACTCTGGGCGTGGGAGGCGCTCTATTGGACAAGGCATTGCATCATTAAAAAACACACACAAACATACCTCTTTATTAGAATAGCTAAAATCAGGTTAATGTGTAAAATTCTACTAACTTGAGAGAAAACCTGAAATCCAGAGACATGATGATGCCCTCAAATTGCTTCAGAGACTCAGAAGCTGTGGAGCCAGAGGGGCCGCCAGGTTGGGGGAAAGTGTGCCCCAGTTTTGAGACTCGATGGGGAGAGGGGGGGGGCTGGGAGCTTGGAATTGGGGGGCTCACCTCCTCTTCCCAGGAGCCCCCCAGGAGGCCCAGCCTCAGAGCTCCCTTCTGAGCTCAGGAAGCGGGCTCTGCACTTGGTCAGCAAGTATTTGTTGAAAGCGCCATTGAGCGGACGGACAGTAATCCTCACTGTAATTATCGGGTCCACGTCCATCAGCACCTCGGGGACTGTTTGCTTATTCTGTCCCTGGGTTATTCCTTCACCTAAATCCCCTGAGCATCTCTGGACCCGAGCTCGGGAAGAGCTGGGCCTGCTCTCAGGAGCTTTCAGAGCCGCGAGGGGCAGACAAGGACACAGACGGTGGCATCCTGGCGTGATACGTGCACCAAGGAAGCACTGGACAGTCTTCATTCACCGAGTCCCTGACCACTCGGAGTTCCTCTAAGACCTTGCCAGTTAAGACCGGCCCTGGGGTGCAGGCTGCCCGGGGTTCCTTTTCTTGTCTAACCTCTTCACCTAAGCTAAGTGCCATGGGGCATGAAGAAACTGGGCCTCAGTTTCCTCATCTGTAAAATGGGGGCTCCAAGGGCTGATGTGAGGATTAATATGAATGTATTCTGCCTGGCACTTATTATTACAATTCATGTCGTCAGCATTAATACATCTGCTTGGCAGAGAGGAAACAGGCTCGGGGAGCTTGAGTGCCTTGCCCCAGTCACACACACACCCCCCTCGCCACGCCCCCAGCCAGAATGCAAACTCGGAGGCGTCCCTGGCCTTGAAGGTGGCCCCGCCACTCTGCCCCTCGCCAGCCGGCGGCTCTCACACGCTCCATTAATACCCCTATGGCTCGGACGTGTCAAGGCCAGATTAATCCGCGCAATGAAATAAAATAATCTTTAATAAGAATACTAATCACCAGGCCTCGGGGAGCCCAGAGACCTGGAGGCAGAGCCGGGAGTTAATGGCCGAGACAGATGGAGCAGCTCTGGGCTGGGGCCGGGCCCTGCCTGTCGACCCGGGGCTCTTCCCGAGTCTGCATGTGCCCGGCCCCTGTGGCCGCGGGCCAGGAGGGCACCTGCCCCTGCCGAGGGCACCTTGCCCAGGCCGCCTGTCAGGCCCGCAGCTGCCCGAGGCCCTGGCCGCCTCTCTCTTCTCCCCTGCTAAGAGCTTGAGATTTGACAAATAAGGTGTCCGCCGGTGGACGACCAAAGGAAATTAATTCTAAATCAGATTTTAAACGCAGTCAGGAGGCCAGAGAGCTCGGCGTTCATGCTCCCCCCTCCGAAATGAGACTCTGATATTTATAGAAAGATGATTAGGGCAGTGGAGGGTGATTTATAGTCTGTGTCCAGGTGACAGGAAGGACGGAACGGGGACTTCAGGCTGGGCTGCTGCTCCCCAGGGTGATACTCTCGGAGATCCTGCCCTATCTGGGGCAGGGGTGGGAGGGGAGGGCGCCAGGTGTGAGGGAGGACACTGGGTCAGGAGCTGTGAGGCCTGGGGAGCTTCCTGGTCAGAGGGCTGAGTCAGTCCAGCACCCCCAGCTGTGCCCTGGGGCCCCTTGCGTCACCTCTCTGGGCCCCATTTCCTCACTGGTGAGCTGCATGAGCTGCGTATGGCTCTGATACTCCTCTGTGGGTCCCTGAGGCGGGGGGCAGTCACAGTCAAGGCGCCAAAGAGGCTGTGACCAGCTAGGTCCCTTCTCCCGGGCGTTCACCGCGAAGTCAAGCACAGCCCACTTCGGAGGGGCGCTGTGAGGGTGCAACTTGAGAAACAGGATCTTGAGGCTGGCAGGTGGCTGTCATGTGGCCTGGCCTCTGCTGCAGGCCACAGGGATGTGCAGGGGGTAGGGGAGGGGGCAGTCAGGACCCCCTCTTAGCAAGTCCCAGCCCTTCCTCTCCTCACTGTTTGCTCAGAGAGACCCATCCATGGGAGACGAGGCCCCGCCATCTGAGAAGGTCCCACAGCTCTGAGGGGACCCCCCCTCAAGTAGCCACAGCCCAGGAAATACACCCTCATCTGTTCCCGGCTTCTTATTGGTCCCCATCTCTGCACTGTCAGGCTACCCACCGAGGAGGGGGTGGGGATGGGGGACACAGCCGCCTCCCTTCCCTGGGCCTCGGCCTCGGGCCTGTGCTGCTTCTGCAAGGAAGTTCCAGGGACAATCCCAGAGGCCACCCACAGGACACTCAGAGATCCCCTCTCCTCGTGCGCCTTCTGTCCTAAAGCCCGATGCCTGCAGGGTACCGTGAATTAATATTGTTTATAAAGCCTGTAATTATCTTGCAACTGGCACAATTATGTGTATTGTGATTTAAATGAAAATTCAAAATTTGCTGCAATTCCCTGACCCTGCTTCGCCTTCTCTTTATTTTGTTATTGCCATGTCCGCAGCACCAGGAAGTGGGCGTGGCCTTGGCCTCTCCTGGCCCTGGGAGGTTCTGCTGCTCAGGTGTTGGGGTTTCCACCAAAAGCCCTGTCCTGGACATGTTGTGGGACCTTGGATACCGGGCTCCACTTCCCGCCTCTGTCTAGGGTAAGGTGACCAGACGTCCCACTTTTGGCGGGACAGTCCCGATTTTTAACAATTTGTCCCGCATCCCGCGGCGTTTTAAAAAAGTCCCAATTTGGGGGAAAAAAAAGATTTCTTTCCAAAAATCGGGACTTTTTTAAAAAAAAAAAACGCCGTGGGATGTGGGACAAATTGTTAGAGATCGAGACTGTCCCGCCAAAAGCGGGACATCTGGTCATTTTAGTCTAGGGAGGCGGGAGCAGCACCTGTGAGCAAGGCCCCAGCCCTGAAGGCAGGAGGATCGGTCTCCCTCAGCGCACACAGGACAAGCTAGTGACGTGTGTATGCTTGGGGCCGGATAGATCCAGAGCCGGGGCAGCGGCTGACCAATGTCCACCTGCCGATGAGCCAGTTGCTGTTTGAGTGTCACCGGGGAGGAGGGAGGCAGGGCTTCGAGGACACAGGAAGCAGCTCAGGGCTCTGCAGTGAGACCCCTGGGATCCGATCCCTCCCTGTGACTGAAGTTGAGGGGCTCGATGTCTCGCATCTTTAAGATGGGGAATATTACTAAGCTTCGGGGACTATCGTAAGGGTGAGAAACTGCATGAACCCCCCGAAGGCAGGGACTCCCTGCGTCTAAATCCCCGTGGCCTGGGTCACAGTGAGATAGATGCTCGATAGAAGGAGAAACTGACATGATGTGTAAGCATCACTTACCGAAGTGCCTGGCACATGGCAAATGCTCAAAAAATCATCTCTAAAGGACTTTATTATCCCTACAGAATGAGGGGGTGTTGGAAGCCAGCTCTGGCGAGAAAAGCAGTTGGGGTGGGCCAGGAATTAAACACCTAGGTCCCAGCTCAGAGCAAGACAGACTAAGTCCCAGCTCCACCGCTCCCCAGCTATGAGACCTCAGTCAGTGGCACAACCATCTGGGCCTCAGTTTTCCCATCTATAAAATGGAATTATACCTGCCTTACTACCATGAGCAAATGAACTGATGTCTGAGGAATCCCCTTGCAAGCTGTCAGGCATGTCTGTTATTATTATTATTACCCAGCAGGGAGCTAAAACACACACACACACACACACACACACACACAGATATCTGTGACAGGGACCAGGAGAGGCTGGGGACCAGGAGAGCCCAGAGCACTAGGCCTCAGAGGGTAGAACCAACCCCGAAACAGGCAAACGTCACGGAAGGTGCTTTGCGTCTAGGGCCCAGGAGCACTGAAGACTCGCAGCAGTTGGGAGGGTGAAGGAAGATTTTTAAGGAAACCAGAGAGCCCCAGAGGGGTGCTGGAAAGGGACTGGTGGCTGGATGGACGACCCTGGTCCCCGAGAGTGACCTTGGTCCCCACAGCAGGCTTCTCTGTGCTGAGTGGCCAAGCCGCCATGTGTCCAGCCTCCGGGGAGGCCAAGAAAGGGCAGAGGGCAACCAGGCCGAGACCAGTACCAGCTGGGCTACCAGCTGCCTGTCCACACCTGCTCTCTCGTGATCCTGGGCTTGCAGGATGCTCACTGCGCTGTGCCACGTGGGAGTCTGCTGACCACACACACGTACGTGTGTACACACACACACACACACACACACACACAGCTTGAGGTCAGCCTGCTCCTGGTCCCTGACATGGAAACCCCACGACCCAGGTGCCTGCAGCGGTCCTCCTTCACCAGCACCTTGGTTTTCCTCTCCCAAGGCCTTAGTGAGACCCCCTGAGCACAGCAGGGTCTCACCCCCCTGTGACACACCCACCTGCATCGTTCTCCCCGGTGCCCCTGCCCGCGGACCTTCACAACGGCCCCACGCGGCCTGGCGCCCCCTCCCTCCACCCCGCAGGCCAGCAGCTCCGTGGTTCTGAGCACGGACGTGAGAGCCAGCCTTCTGGGTTCACATCACAGCTCTGCCACCTCCCAGCTGGGCGGCCCTGGGTCAGGCCCCTTTGTCTCTCTGTGCCTCGTCTCCTCACCTACAAAGCCTGGACCGGAGCAGTTTCTGCCTCACAGGGAGGGGTGGGATGGAATGAGTTAGTGGTGAAAGGTGCTTAGAGCCGTGGTCGGAATACTGCAGCTCGCGAGCTACATGTGGCTCTTGGGCCCCTTGCGTGTGGCTCTTCCACAAAATACCATGGCCTGGGCCAATCTGTTTTTAAGAAGTGGCGTTTGAAGAAGTGTAAGTTAAAAAAATGTGGCTCTCCCAAGAAATCCCAATCGTTGTCCTCTTGATGTTTGGCTCTGTGGACGCATGAGTTTGCTGATCACTGAGTGAGAGCGTACTGACCTACGTCAGCTCCTTGCACTGCTCCCTCGCACAGGAGCGCACCCGGCGGTACCCAATCACACAGGGTCCTGCAGGGTGACCTCTCCACAGTGCCACCGAGGGCACCGCCTGGCTGTGGTGCGTGTCCCTCCTCGCCCCCCATCACACACAGACGGCCTGTGTACTTGCTGACCCAGACACATGGGAGGGTCCCCCACTGTGCCAGGTGCTGCGTGCACCACCCAGACGCCTGCTGACTCTGGTGCCCCCCCTCACTCCCCCCCACACACACACCCTGGCAGCTCTGCCCCTACCGAGCCCACCCGCCAGCCAGCCAGCCCCCATGGGGCGCGCTCACCCACACAGGCGTCCTGCCGCTCCTCGTAGCCGGCGCTGCACACGCACTTGCCGATGGGCACCAGCCACTCGCCCTCGGCGCTGCAGTACATCTTGGGCGTGTCCCGCTCCTCCGAGTGCCGCACACACTGGCCCCGCACCTCCACCAGCGAGGAGGAGTCGGCCCCGGTCACCGCCTCCGAGAAGGCCGCCAGGTTGCGCACCATGGTGGGGCACTTCTTGTAGTAGACGCGGAGGGACAGGATGGCGAGGCAGGCGCCGATGTCCTGGAAGGCCAGGTAGAAGCCGCGCTTGCCCAGCGGGCCCACGCCGCGCACCTCCGTGTTGAGCTTGAGGCGCCGCACGCCCAGGTCGGCGCCGGTGAAGCTCTCGTCGGCCGCGATGGTGTCGATCTTGAGGAACTGGCTCTCCTGCGTGCTGGCGCCCAGGTCGCGGTCAGACTCCAGGTAGTAGAGGTTGAAGGTCTCCTTGCAGGTGCCCGGCACGCCGGGCATGCTGTTGCAGTCGCGCAGCGTGAACTTGATCTCGGCGTAGACGCGCCGGGCGCCGTGGCGGGGCACCCAGCCGGTGCGCAGCCAGTTGTTCTGGTTGGGGCTCATGACGTTGCACACCTGGTACGTGTGGATGGGCCGGAAGGACTCGTCCACCTCGTTGATGGAGTCCCACTGCGGGGGAAAGAGCACAACACCTGACGGACACTATTAGCTGGTGAGCATGATAGAATCAGAGGTACGGAAGGGGAGCGGACTGACGATTCTCGGGGAAAGGGGGAGTGGGCAGGGGGTGCGGAAAGAGGCTGAACAAAAACTGTGCATGTATGGAGGAGAACAATGAGGGGTGGGGAAAGGGCAGAGGGTGGGGTGGGAACCTGGTGGAGGGGAGCTATGGAGGGAAGAAAAAAAGAGGAACATTTGTAATAATCTGAACAATAAAGATTTATTTTTTTAAAAAAGGAAAAAAAAAAAGAAAAAGAAAGGAAGAGCACAGCCCACTGAAGCGGGCGTCTGCCAGTCACCCCTGCCACGTGCCCCACACATCAGTCCTGTGGGAGGGGGGGTCCTGAGGAAGAAGGGGGCGTTCTCCAGCCTGGGGGAGCTGATCTTGTGGGGCGGGCTGTCACAGCTGCCAGACACCAGGCACCCTGCAGAGGTGGGGACAGCGTGCCACATCCTTCTGGGGAGAGTCACGTATGGCCTGCTTACAGATGGGCAAACAGAGGCTCAGGCACAGGAGCCCCGTGCCTGAGGACCCATAACGAGTGAGGGGTGGAGCCAGGACTGGCACCGATACCACGGCTGCATCACTCCAGCCTGTCTCTCTGTGGCCACGCCTATCCTGCCTAGAGTGCGGGGACCCGCAGGGGGAAGTCAGAGCGCTCCCCGGGCCAGTTTCCACACCAGTGCCCCGAGGGATCTCTCTAAGGCACGAACCCCACTCAGATCCGGCAGCAGCGCCCCCTGATCTGGTGCTAGCTCAGGCTGATGGGTGGACGTGGCCCTGCTGCTTGGGATGGTCCCTCAGACCCCCCTCACGCCCCCGCCCACACACACACACACACACACACACACACACACGCCCAGCTGGGAGCTCCCTGGCCGGCCTGGGTCCTCTCACAAGTGCCAGGAGCTGGGGAAGTGGGGTGTGACGATCTGTGCCGGGCGCTGGCCAGGCATCGTTGGCCCAGAAACACGCCACATGCTACCAGCGGAGAAAACACCTGCGAGTCATGTCTCTGATAAGGAATTCATATCCAGAACTCCAAAGAACTCCCACACCCCAATAACAAAAACACAGCCGAAACCGGTTTGGCTCAGTGGTAGAGTGTCGGGTTCGATTCCGGTCAAGGGCATGTACCTTGGTTGCGGGCACATCCCCAGTGGGGGGTGTGCAAGAGGCAGCTGGTCGATGTTTCTCTCTCATCGACGTTTCTAACTCCCTATCCCTCTCAATTCTTCTCTGTGTAAAATCAGCAAAATATATTAAAAAAGAAATAACAAAATACAAGCAGCCCAGTTTAAAAACGGGCAACGGCCTCGAGTAGACATTTCTCTGAAGATGTGCAGGCGACCTAAGTTAAGGTGGCCAGACGCCCCGCTTTCGGCGGGACAGTCCCGGTTTTTAACCCTCTGTCCCGCTTTTTTAAAACGCCGCGGGGACGCGGGACAAACGGTTAAAAATCGGGACTGTCCCGCCAAAAGCGGAACGTCCGATCACCTCAGGCTGAGGAGCACAGAGCATGTGAGAACATCCTCAGCATCACCAACCCGTGGGGCAGTGTGACTCAAAAGCACAATGTGGTGCCACGCCGCACCCACCAGCGATTATCAAAACGACAGAAAGAAACGAGTTTGGGTGAGGATGAGGAGAAACGGGAGCCCGCCATGCTGCCAGCGGAGAGATTCCTCGGGGCGCTGGTGTGGAAACTGGCCCGGGGACGTCTGACTTCCCTCTGCGGGTCCCCGCACTCTAGGCGGGATAGGCGTGGCCGCTGGCGGGAGTGTGAAAGGTGCAGGCACGGTGCGGAACAGTGCGGTGGGTCCTCAGAAAACTAAAAAGAACCACCATAGGGTCCAGCAATTCCACTTCTGGGTGCACACCCTAAAGAAATAAAGGCAGGATTTAAAAAAAACAACAAACAAAAAACTAAAAAAGCCGAAACCGGTTTGGCTCAGTGGTAGAGCAGAGGTCTGCGGACTGAAGGGTCCCGGGTTCGATTCCGGTCAAGAGCATGTACTTTGGTTGCGGGCACATCCCCGGCAGGGGGGGTGCAGGAGGCAGCTGGTCGATGTTCCTCTCTCATTGACGTTTCTAGCTCTCTATCCCTCTTCCTTCCTCTCTGTGGGAAATCAATAAAATATATTAAAATAAATAAATAGATACAGGCAGGGACTCAGGGACCCGCACACCCGTGTTCGCGGCAGCCGGAGGGGGAATCGTGTGTCCGTCGACGGATGAATGGACACAGAACGTGGCCTCTCCACACACTGGGGCAGTATTCTGCCCGCAGGGGGTGACACATGACAGAGGCTGCAATATGGGAACCTCCGGGCCATCGCACAGAGTGGGATGAACCCGGACAAAGGAACAACTGTGACATGACTCCGCTTACTAGTGCACGAGGTGCTGGGACCAGTCAGATCGGAGAGATGGAAAGCAGAACGGAGGTGCCAGGGACTAGGGGGTGGGGAGGGGGACGGGGAGACGGGAGTCACAGAAGTTTTAATCTGGGAAGATGAAAGCGTTCTGGAGCCGATGGTGGTGGTGGCCACACCACCAGGTGAACGGACTCAGTGCCACTGGACTGCCCACCTGCACGTGGTTAAGATAAAAGGTGGGAAATGTGGTATGTGTATTTTACCACAGCCTAAGGAAGAAACACACCTGAAACACTTCCTGCCCTCAAGTGCCTCACATCCACTTACAGACCAGCTGGTGGAGGGTGACATGCCAAAGGGTATTGAGGGGGCGGGGGGCAAAATTTGGTGTGGGCTGCAGCAGGAACCTCTTGCAGGGACGGGAGGGGAGAGCCCAGTGAGGCTGAACGTGTAAGCCGTGTTCGGCGAGCACCAGACAGCCCAGTAAGAGTCACGTCGAAGACGCCGTGTTGACCTGCTGTGTGACCGTGGGCAAGTCGCTGCTCCTCTCTGGGCCCCCGTTTCCTCAGCTGCAGGATGCCGGCTGGTGAGCGGCTGTCAGGGTGGGCTGAGTTCAGGGGACTCCTGAGGGCTCTGAGGAGGCGCTGGGGGCCGAGGGCGGCTAGAGGGGACAAGCTCTGGGTCCCTGTCCTCACTCCACCTGAGAGGCAGTGTCTCCATCTTCTCTCTGGGGCCTGCATGTGCAACTGCCCTTGAACTAGTGCTCCTGTGACTTAAGCAGGGGTCAGGGTGGGTAAAGACCACACCTTGTGAAGTCAGCCAGACAGGGACGGAGGGGCGCCATGCGATTTCCCTGAGATGCAGAATCCGGAGAACGACACAAACAAACAATTAAAACAGAAACAGACCCGCAGCTGCAGGGAGCGGGCTGAGGGCTGGCAGATGGAAGGGAAGTGGGGGGGGCTGGTGAGACAGGTGAAGGGAGTCACAGCACAGTCCTGGGGTGCAGGGGGCAGCACATGGAACACAGTCAATTCTACTGTGATCACTGTGGCACCAGGTGGGTTCTGGACGGGGGGGGGGGGGGGGGGAGTACGATTGTGTAAGTGTCTAACAACTGTGCTGTACACCTGAAACCAATATAAAACAATACTGAACGTCAACTGTAACAGGAAATAAAAGAAATAGAAGAAAAGGGACAAAAGGTAAAAGCCACCACCCCTCCTTGTGGTGGTCTGGGAAACTGTGGGGTTCTGAGCTGCCCCACAAGAGGCAGAGCGAGGACCCCGGGCACCCCAAGTCCTTCCTGCCTGACTCAGCCCCCCCTTCACCCCCTGTTCCACCGCATCTTGGCCAGCAAGTGGTCTGGACCCACAGTACCCGCATCTGAAAAACGGAGTCAGACAGGCCCCCCAGAGGCCTCTGCGGGTGGAGAGCTCGGGCCTGGCCGAGAGAGGCACCGAGGAATGGGGCTTCCCAGCCCACCTGCGCCTGCCTCCCGGGACCCCTGGGGGAGGAGCCCAGCCTATGCCAGCCTCACCTGAAAGAGATCATGCTTCCTGCACCCCCACCCCAAGGGGACCCCTGCCCTGCACCCCACACCGCAGCTGGGGTCTCCGGCCAGCGCGGTGTTGGTCACATCTGGGGTTACAGTCACTGATACAATGAACAAAGCGCCGAAGAGCCAACCAGCTGCTCCCTGTCTGCTGCCTGCCAGGGACCGGGATAAATTAATCAGCTCCATTCGGGTCCGTTCCAGCTGCCCCACCGATGCCAGCGGCCTGACCTGGCCCTGCCAGCCCCAGGGCTGCCGCCGCCGCCGGTGCCCAGAGCGGCAGGGATTCCTGGAGGCTGGCAGAAAGGTGGAATCCGTCCTGCTCTCCGCCTGGGGCACCCCACCCTGGGCTGGGTGCCATCCCACCCCAGCTGCCCTGGCACCCTCCTCCCGCCTCCCCCCCCCCCCCCCACTGCTGTGGAACTCGGTCTCATTCCTGGAATGAAGGCAGGGAGCCGCACGGTGCAGCCCTGAGTACATCACATCCCTCTCTGAGCCCCGGGCTCTCCATATGCAGAATGGGGTAGGTCCAGCCTGCCCATGCCATCCACTCTGAGCGATGCGAGGATCCAGTGGGACAATGGAAAGGAATGTGCGCCCATCAGAGGCAGCTGTTCTTTGCCTGGGGTGAAGCTCGCCCAGTGAGTGGAGGGCGGGGTGCAAAGGGAGGGGTGCAGCCTGGCGAAAAGCATGGGTTTCTGGGGCCGGTCTGCCCCACACACCCCCACCCTCACCCCGCCCTCAGCTTAGCAGAGATGCTGAACCTCTCAGAGCTCCTGGTTTCTTACCCGTGAACCGCCCTTTTCATGCATCATCTCACAGATGACAACTCCACCAGCCCGTGGTATGGGGGGAGGTAAAGGATTTGCCCCAGGTCACATGATTGGAGGCGGCAGAGCACCGGCTCCTCGGGACCCAGCACCTTGGCCTTCAGGCTGAGCCGTCTGCCTGATAATCTGATAACGTTGCTGATGCTGGAGACAGTCCTGGTGGCCTGCACCCGGGTGTTTAACAGGCTGCAGGGCCAGGGGGTGGAAGGAGCCTCAAGGACCATCTCTGAAGGCTGCCCACCCAGCTGGCAAATATTAAACCAAAGACCAGCTCCTCCCCAGCCCCCCTGGATGTCAGCATCTGCAAGGCTCACCCGGTAGCCCAGCACAGGTTCAAGGCCTCAAGGCTGGGAACCAGGACTCTCTCTGGCCTGTTCTCTCCCTGGGCAAGCCCTATAGAGGCAGGAAGTGGTCCGTAACTCAGTGGACAATGCAGGGCTGCCTCCCAGCCTCACAAAGAGGGCAGAAGGGACGCCACTCGGGCTCCAGGCTCAGAGTTATGAGTTCCAGCCCATCACCTGGAGCCTGTCCGAGGCTGAGCAAAGACCTCCAGGTGCTCTGAGCCTCAGCGTCTGCGTCTGTAAAAGGGGGCGGCTGTCCCTGCTTACAGGGTGGGTGGTGGGGATTAAAAGAGATAACGTCTATAGACTGTCGGGAGGTACTGAATAGAAGTTATTATTGTTCTAAGTCCCAAATTAAATGAGATGACTGATCCATACTTTACTGCAAACAGAAGAATTACAGTGTGATCGTGGGAAATACACGCCAGTCCTGTTCCTCGCCTTCTCAAAATCCTACCACTCCTCATTACCCTCAAACCAAGACCTAAGATCTGAGGGGACAGACACCCAGAGCCAACCTGCAGCCAGGCCCACGCCCCCTTGGGGAAATGCTGACCCAGACAACAGCCAGGCAGTCCCCTCCTCCTGGGCCAGCCCCCAGCCGCCGCCAGCAGAGCCAAGATCCTTGTTCACCCTCCTCCCCGCTGGGAGACAGCCAACTGGGGCACACAGGGGGCACTGCCCAGGGAGAGACGGAGGCCCAGGGAGGTAAAAGGACACCCCAAGAACCTGGCCTTGGTCTCAGGCAGGCCTGGCCTGCTCAGCCAGAGAAGGGGTTCCTACTGGCTCTTGGGCCCCGAGACCTAACCCTCCAGCCCCTGAAGCCTGGTGCCCAAGGGCTGATGCAGGAAGCGGACTCAGCTTTCTGCTCCCTGGGACCCGGGAGAGAAGGGGAGTTCCGACCTCAGCCACAGGCTACAGGCCACGGACCAAACGGCCTGGTTAAAACCCCTACCTCAAAGTAAAGAGATACCTCCTTCGTAAATGTGACCGCCTGGCATGGTTATCATCGTTACTATTATTAACACGATTATCCCTCTGGCCTCAGAGCCACGAAAGCCACTGTTCACAAAAGAGTTGTGGTACATGATGTCTAAAGCAGGGGTGTGTGTGTGTGTGTGTGTGTGTGTGTGTGTGTGTGTGTTTCTGAGCACATCTGTAGGCGGAAATTTATGTGAGATACAACCATGAAATCCTACATAATAAAAGCGTAATATGCAAATTGTCCCCTCGACCGGGAGGTAGTCCAGGAATTTGACGGGGGGGGAGGGGGGGGGGAGGTCCTGGCCGGCAGCCAGTAGCTGCTGGGGGCCCCTACCAGGGTACGAATTTCATGCACTGGACCTCTCCTATGCCAGTAACAGTGCTGGTGACAATCCATTCAGGAAAGGCTCACCGGTAACAGGCACAGTCTACAACCATGTGTGAACAAAGCCCCTGGGGTCGTCACGTGCTCCTCCCTTTCCAGAGATGGGAAACAGACCCAGGGGGCTGAGGTGGTGACCCAGGGCTCCAGCTCGTCGATGGCGGAGCCAGGACCCCACCAGGCTCATGGCTTGCTTTGGCTTTCCTGCCCACCTCCTGGGACTTGGATAATACCCTGTTTCCCTGAAAATAAGACAGTGTCTTATATAAATTTTTGCTCCCAAAGTTGCACTAGGTCTTATTTTCAGGGGATGTCTTATTTTTCCATGCACTAGGTCTTATTTTCGGAGGATGCCTTATTTTCGGGGAAACACAGTAGAAGTGGAGGGACCGGGCAGTGCAGCCTTGTCCCTGGAGTTGCCATGACCACGGCCCAGGAGAGTGGACGGGGTGTCTCCCAGGAGCATTGATCCCAAGGGAGCTGAGGGGCTAAGCCACACAGGCTGGGGGCTGGCAATGCCAGCCAGGCGGGGCTGATGGAAAAGAGAAGCAGGCAGGGAATCCAGCTTTCCTGGCAGCCCCCGGTGAGGGCCCGGCGGCGGTGAGAGAGGGGACCGATCCTGAAGCTGTAAAAGCCCTGGATAGGGCCCTTCCTGGCCCTGTGCCTCCACAATGACATGGCTAGGCTCCCCTGGGCCCAGCTGGGCACATCGTGAGTCTGCAGACCCAGGACGCAGACTTGAGGACCCCACATGTGGGGCCTCAGCCACGAAGCACCCGTGGCCCAGCACCAGGGGTGGTCTCTATCCCCAAGGCTCTGTGTGCACGAAACTGTTACGAAATCAGCAGCTCCGTCTCTCGTTGCTGTGTGTCCTTGGGTAAGTGCCCTCCCCTCTCTGGGCCTCTGCTTCTTATCGATCTATCTGATTAGATTCTGTGAATCACAGCCCCCCTCTGCTCCCAGAGGGATGAGGCTGGCCCCACCATCCATCACTTACCCCGTGAGCCGGATACGTGAGCCAGCCCCAGTCCCCGTGGATGGTTGATGTGTCCAGCAAGTTCACTGCAAAACAGGAGACGGGAGGAATCAGACCCCTGGGACCGCCTTCCCTGCGTCACAAGCGACACCGGACCCAGCCACGCGCCAGGCCCTGCGCCTGCCAATGTCTGTGTGCGTTCACACAGGGCCTTGCTGGTCAGTCTCGCACCAGCTCCACAGCTGTGTCCTTTCTGGCCTGCCCCGTCCACCAAGGCACAGTTTAAGTTCTCTCTCTTCCTGGAAGCCTTCTTCGGCCATTTTGGCCAGAACACGACCTCCTGAGCTCCCAGAATACACGCTGCCCCGAGTGCCAGCTGCCCGCTTTGTGGGCTGGTGGGATGGCTGAGACAGGCTCAGGAGGCCTGGGTCATAACCCCGGCTCCAGCACTTAGAAGCTGTGTCCTGAGCAAGTCCCCTCCCCGCCCTGAGCCTCAGCTTCCTCCTCTGTAAAATGGGGCGACAGTGGTTCCTGTCGCACAGGGGTTTGTGACCCTAACTTATTCATGGGACGTAATGGCATTTTCAAAGATATACCAAAGTTCACGCTGCGAAGCCATACCTCCCCACAGGACTGGCCCAGCTTTATAATCACCAGGAGCTGCCCGCACCCAGTAGGTCCTCTGCACACCTGATGCAAAGAGACTTAGGGCAGTAGAGCTGCCTCTGGGTGAGCACCTACTATGTGCTGAGCTCTGCAAGGAGAGCTTGAGATGCCTCATCTGTGACTCACACAACCACCCGGAGAGGTGGCCCTTCTTATCTCCATTTTATAGGTGAAAACACCGAGCCTCAGGGAAGTTCAGGAACGTGCCCAGAGCACCACAGGTGTAGCCAGCAGGCTCGGCATGCAGAGCACCTGCTGTGGCAGCCACAGGCAATGCCCCCGGCCCTGGCAGCCTGGCTCCAGGTGGTGGGGAGGGAGATCTGGCCAGAAAGCAAGTCTACTTTAAGCCAGACCCTCCCAGCAGGGAAATGAGCCCACGATCAGAGTCACACACCGCCCCCCCCGGGCTCCTATCTCAATATATCCACTTGTAGCAGGAGGTCCTCTGAACCTCAGTTTCCTCATCTGTAAAATGGGGATAATGATATCAAAGGGTGGGCGAGGGCCACCAGGAAAGCCTGGAGTCAATGCCAGCTCCCTGTCCCTGCGTCCTGCCTCTCTCTCTTTGCGCCTCAAACCCACCCACTCCCTTTTCAGCAATAAATACATCAAGGCTTGAGTCCCAGTTCTGTCTTAACTGCTGTGTGTCCTTGGGTAAGTCCCCTCACCTCTCTGGGTCCTCGCATCCTTCACTGTATCTGGTGATGGGTGTCTGAGAGAGTTCTTGGCTCCCCGGGGCTTTCCATTTCACTCTCTGTTCGTGTACCCCCTCTCCCAGCCAGCAACCATGGGCTTCCAGCCAACCCGGTGGGCAGGCTTGAGCGGGTCCCGGAGGGTTAAAGCAGACCCTCCCGCAACTCTGCCCGCTGGAAGGCTGGAAGGCGGAAGCCGGAGCTCTGGATAGCTCCATGCCTGCCCCTCAGAGACGGAGACAAGTGTCCTCCGGACATGTCGGAGTGAGGATGCTCTTATTTGCTGGGTTTCTTTCTCCTTTCACCCTCCCCACCCAATCGGGGAGTGGAGAGGAGCAGGCTGGCTGGATCGAGAGCTTACAGAACCAGGGAGGGGTCCCCAGAGGCCAGGTAGGATCAGGGGATGGATCGCCCCTCCCCGGCCCCAGCCCCACGCACGGGGGCGCAGGCAGAGCAGCTTCCCGCCCCCTCCCTCCCTCCCTCTCAGGCGATGGAAGGAAAACTGGGTCAGGCAGCTCTCTCCCGCTGCCTGGAGGGAGGGAGAGGGGCCGCACTGCAGTTCCCCCAGACTGGCAGGGCCTGGTTTGGGGAGAGGGGAGGAGAGAGACCTGTGGATGCCCCCACCCTCCCCACCCCTTCTCCACGCAGCTCCACCTGCCCCTGCACAGCGGGTACCTGACCGAATGTCCCCTTCCTGGACTCTGCCCCTGGATACCCTGCCTCTCGGGCAGCTGCCTGCAGACCCCGCTTTCCAGCCCTCCCTTCCCCTGGGGAGCCTCCCCACCCCCCGCAACATTTGCAGCAGATTCTGGACCAGTGAGCCAGGGGGGCTCAGATAATCCAAAGATAAGTCAAAAGTCGATTCTATCAGATTCAGGAAGGGCCATAGGATTCTAGGGCTGCTTGTTCTCATTCTTTCCAGATCCTTCTCGGCCCCTTCCCTCTCCTCTTCTCCCTCTGTCCCCCTCTGCCCTACCTCATACCCCTTCTTGTGAGGGGGTGGGGGGAGAGACACTGAGTGTCTTTCACGGGTTTCCATCGGGGCTGTAGAGAATCCGGCATCAGGCCCGCCTGGCCTGGCCAAGTCCCCACGGCCCAGACCCCCTTCTGGTCACCAGGGCTGCCTCTTGCACTGCCCATCCGTGTGACATCTGTGATGTCCATTCCCCTCTCGGGGCCTGCCTCCCCGCTTGCAAATGTAAGGGTTGGGCTAAGATGGTCTCAGGGCCTTTGATGGAGCAAGTGGCCGAACTCCTCCGTGCCTCCGTTGCCTCCTCTGCCAGAGGTCCACAGACATCCCTCCTGGGCCTGCCCGCCCGGCGGTTCTGGGGGATCAGACGGGTCCCCCTCCTGCGCTGAGAAGAACAGACAGCCCCGAAACCTCTCCCGTCTGACTGTGGAAGCGCTCTGCGATTCCTTTTTTCTCCGGCTCCGACACCTTCCCCCATTCCATCTCGCTGAGACTAATACTTAAATTGATTTACATTCCCCGAGGACACAGCGCATGACGGGGAGGCTGGAGGATTCGGGGTGGCCAGCAGATGTCAGCCAGGACCGAATGCCTCCCAGAAATCACCCAGAGCGGTGGGTGATCCCCACCAGGGTAACGGAGGCCAGGGAGCCCTGCGGGGCAGGGGGCGGGGAGCAGGGGGAGGGGGGTTGCAGGGCCCCCCCAGCCAGAGGAGGGACCGGGTACAGGGGCACTTGACCAACCTGGGGCACTGCCATCTTTGGGACCCCAGCAGGGAACAGAGCCCCCCCCTCCTCAAGTTCCAACCGTCTCCCTGGCTGCCCGGGCTCTGCGCCTGCTGAGCCGGGAGGGAGTCCTGGCGGTCCCACACGGAACACCCCCTGGGTCTCCACCCATGGCTTCTGACCGGCAAGGGGCACCCAGGCCTGGCGGTGGGCGCCTGCTGCTTGACCAGACAGATGTGGACAGCGCGTCCCTCCGCCCTGCCGAGCTCCCCGCCTGCCTCTCTATAGATCCTGCCTCTGCCCCAACTGCTGTCTCTCCGCGGACACAGACCCGTCCCCTCTCTCAGGCCAGCGGTCTGTCCTCCCCAGAGTCCCCTTCCCGGGGGACTCTGGTGTTTGCTGCTGCCATTCCAGAGGGTGCTGGCTCTGCCCAGGAGAGAGTGAATTAAGGAATTGAGCTGCACCACCCAATGCCCAGAGCCTGGGTGTCGGTCCCCTCAGAATCCTACTGGGTAAAGCGACCGCCCCCTTTCCTGTGCTCAGCCCTGGGGAGACTGCTTCTCAGGCCACAGCTCCGAGTCACCGCCCGCCCTCCTGCCTCCTGGGGTCTCAGGAACCTGTGCCCACCCCAGCCAGGCCGTCCTTCCTGCCATTTCACCGTAGCTCCCCTGCTATGGTCCCCACTCGCATGACCTGTTCCGTTGCAAACTGTGAGTTTATCGATGTCTTCTGTGCACACGCATCTCCATGGCACGGATGCCAGTGTGAAGGCCTCCTTAGATGTGGTGTCTGCCCACAAACATGCATATTTTCGTGTATATGTCTGTAGGTACATGTGTGTGCACACATGTACTGCCTGCATTTCTGTGCATGACAGTGGGCGGGGGGGGGGCTGTCACGCACCAGGGTCTCTACGGGCCTGGGTCTATGCGTGTGAATCCTGCTGTGTTCGTGTGTGTGTGTGTGTGTGTGTGTGTGTATGACAAACACTGACTGGTGCTCCCCTGAGTCTGAAGTTCATGGTCCCGGGTGAGACCCAGGGCGTCAGTTCTGGGATCGGGCATGGAGCACTAGGGCGCTTCCTCTGGGCAGCAGGGAGTGGCTGGGGCTGGGAGCAGAGCTCAGGGCGGCACCCCGTGAGTGCCAGGTGTGAGGCCCCGCCTTGGGGACCCTGATGGATGCCCCCTCCCGGCGTTCCTTGTCCCCTCCCATCACCGGCACCGGCAGGCCACCAGCCGAGCCCTTTTGGTCCTGACGGTTGAGTTCACAACCCCTGCTCCAGCCTCTCCCCCGTGTCCCCTGAGTGACCCGACTGCCCAGCCTTGACCCTGGACAAGACCCTGATCTCCAGCCTCGCTTGCCTCAGTTCCCCCACCAACCCCTTCGCTCGCCCCTCACTGGTGCTTCCTCCCATGCCCCCCCTTCCTGCCCACCAAGGCTGCCTCCCCACCCGCCAGTCCTCCTGGCGGCACCCCTTCTCCCCCCGCCTCCAGCCCTCCACTTCCAAGCCTCTCCGTCCCTGCCCCTCAGTCCTGGCTTCCCCCAAACCTGCCCTGTTCTCTCTGGTCCTCAGTTCCTGCCCCCGCCCCCCTTCAGTGCCATCTCTGCCCCTTTTCCTCCAGCCTCTGAGCCTCATCCTGCATCTCTGTGCCCCTCTGTCCCCACCGGCCCCTGCCCTCTCTGTCCCCTCTCCCCTCTATAGCTCTCCTCTCCTCTCCTGTCCCCCAGCCTGTCCCCGTCCCCAGTGTCTGGTCCTCAGTTATCTGTCCCCCGCTCCGAATCCCACAGCCCCGTGCTCCCCAGCCCCAGCCCCGCTGCCTCTGCCCCTCAGCCCCAAGCCTGCGGGTCCCGTCCCCCTCTCCATCCACTCTCCCTTGACCCTGGGGTCTCCCCCGCAGGGATTCCCTGTCCCCCCCGCCCCCCGAGCCCAGGGGCCCGGTCCCCGAACCCAGGTTCCCCGTCCCCGAGCCCAGGCTCCCAGCCCCGGGGGCGCTCAGGGTGGAGGAAAAGGAAGTTGAGCCCCGATCCGCGGCGCCGCGCCCCCGTCCCCGGCCGCCCGCCGCCGCCGCCGCCGCCGCCGCCGCCGCCGCTCACCTTCGCCGCGCGCCGCGGACACGCAGGTGGCAGCCGCCGCCGCGGCCGTGACGACCCAGAGCGCGGGGGGCAGGCGCCCCCGGGCGGAGGCCATGGCCGGGAGGCGGGGGCCCGCGCACCCTCGCTCGGCTCGGCCGCGGCGGCGCGCTCCCCGCTCTCCCTCCGCACGCCGGCCCCGGGCGCACACCCCGCGCACACGCGGCCCCGGCGCACGGGCACCCGCGCCCGCCGCCGCCGCCGCCCCGGACTGGGGGGGAGGGGGGGGCGCCCGTCACGGCGCCCAGCCAATCAGCGCCGCGGCGCGGGGGCGGGCCGGCCGGCGGTGGACAGCGGCCCACTCCCCCCTGCACGTGAGCTTGCCCGCGCCCGCCTGCCTGCACCCCGGGGGCAGCGTGCCCACCGCGCCCCCAGCGCCCGTGACCGCAAGTGGACTCAGGGCCGCCCACCCGGTGCCTCGGTCAGGGCGCCCCCGCAACACCTGGACACACAGACACCCCCGGGAGAAGTCTCCGGTTCACGCGGGGCGACGCATCCCCTTGCACACTCACCACTCACTCTTGCACACTCAGGCTCGCTCGCCTATGCAGGGACCTCCACAGGGACCCACTCGGATGCACATTCACGATGAGAGGCTGAGACCCGCTTAGAGGCAATCTCAGAGAGCACCTTTAGGTGAACACTCTCAGACTGGGCATGGAGGGGGCACCCTGGGTTAAGGGGGCAGGGGTCTGGGACACCAGCTCTGGACCAGACAGAGAAGGGATTGCATCCTGACTGGGCAGCCTTGGGCAGGTGCCTTAACCTCTCTGAGCCTCAGCCTCCACGCCTGTAAAACAAGGACAATGCTATCCGAGTCCCGGGGCTGCTGTGAATTTACATGCGAGGACGCAGGTACAGTGCACCGCCCACACCAGGCGCACAGCCAGGAGGCTGGCAGAGGCAGCTGCTCTCAGGTGGATGGTGTAGCCCGAACACACACGCCCTGCTTTTCCTCCCTCGCCTTTCCCAGGAGTGGCCTCTCTCCTTGGGGATCCCTCCAGGTGCCAACCCCCCCCCCCCCCCCCGCCCAATCCCATGAGCATCTGGTGGGCCAAGTTGTCTGGAAGCGGATAAGAGGTCTGCAGCTCCCAGGGGCTGGCCCTCAAGTGGGGGTGCCCCTTGGGGACACGTTCTGACGCCGCCTCTAACGTCCAATGGGCACAGACTGTCACCTCTGACCGCACTCCCAGCTCCTGCGCTCGCCGCGAAGGGGGAAGAGGATGGTGGAGGCATCGCGCACCCTGTGGGCAGGAGCAGCTGAGGAAGCTGGAGTGCAAAAGGCCATCCTGTACTCTGATCGCCCCGCTGGTCACCTGCTGGAGAGGTGCTCCCACCCAGATCCCCGGACTCCAACGCCCACTCTCTCCCTGCGTCTTTGTTACAGAAGGAGAGACAGCCCCAAGTAGGGGCCCTTTCTCCATGGCTCAGACCAACCGTCTCAGCCAGGTAGAAAGCCCCCGTTCCTGGGGCCTTCAAGCCGGCCCTGGGCGGAGGCTGTCGGGGTGCTGTGAAGGGGTGGGGGACAAAGGGAGCAGGCTGGACCAGATCTAGAGAGGTACACACATGCCCGCAGGAGACAGGCTGGCCCCTGAGGGGACCTGTGAGGGGCGTGTTCCCAGCTCCTGCCATGGGGACGGGAGCCCAGTTCTCTGCATTTTCAGAAGTTTTACATCTAATTCTTGATGTGGTGTCTTTTACTATTTACAGTTGGCAGCTAATGCAAACATTGTGAGAATACTGTAGTGTGGGCAAACCCGTGGGGGGTGTGGCCAGGCTTACCCGGTTTCCCCATCCGCGCTGGACTCTCCATCCCTCCTGTCACCGAGTCCCCGAGATGTAGGGCTTTCACCCATTTTAAAGGCACAGAGACCGAGACTCCGGAGGACTGACTGATTGATGGAGTGGAAGTGGGAGCGGGATCTGGGCTGGCCGTATCTCATGTGTCTCCTCTCCCCGACTGGATTCCCAGCCTCCTGAGGGCAAGATCCATGGCAGAGTCCCGGCCTGGTCACGCGTGGTCCTCCTGGTGCCCAGAGGCGCCCTGGGAGCCTTTGCGATGCCTGAGCAGACTTCCAAGATGCCCGCAGTTTGGTGTCTGGATGGCCGCATGGTGTGTGAGCCAGACCCGCTGGGTGGCCTTGACTGCCACTCTCCGGGGGAAAGTCTGCACGGCGCTCACCTCTCCCACCAGCACCCTGACTCATGGGTCCTCACTGTAGGGACAGGCAAGGCGGGGTGGGCTGGGCAGAGCTGGACTTGGCCAAGCAGGGCAGACTCTGAGCTGGTCCTGCCTTCCCCTCCCAGCCCCCACCCCCCAACCGTTGTCTTTCGCTTCTGGGGAGCTGTAGGGAACATCAGGTGATTCCCATTTACAGATGGACCCTCCCAGGAGTGTTTATTCCCTTCCCAGCTAATCACATAGACCCTTCCCTCGAAGTGCCTCCAGGATGGGGGGAAGGGAGGCAGCCTCCGTTTACCCAACTATGAAAGTTGGGGTACGCCCCCAACTCAGAGAAGTGCTAGGTGGCTCAGGTGAGCTCACAGGTGCACACATGCTTGGGGACTGGGCAGATGAGCTGTGCAGGGCACCAGTTTGGTAGAAGAAATGGTGCTGGCAGGAAGGATGGGTGTGTGTGTGTGTGAGTGTGAGGAGTGTGAGTGAGTGTGCGGGTGGGAGCAGTGGTAGTGGTGAAGTCCCCTCATCCTTCAGCCACCCTCACCCTGCCCTGGCAGCCTCATTGCCCCCTCAGCAGCCCAGACTGCTACAGAGAAACCCTGCCCCCCCCCCCGCCCCTCTCACTCTCTGCTTGGTTCACTCTGAGAGGGGGTTGGAGGGGGCAGGCAGCCCTCACGTTTGTACAGGAACCTCCCCTTCCCTGGCTTGGGGACAGAGCCATTGGCGATCTTTGCCAGAACCGGGTTCTCACCATGAGGCCCACGTGGCTCCCTCAATGAGGGGCCGTTCTCCCATCCATAACGGGCCAAGTCCCCTGTCTTCTGAGTTCTAAGGGGCATGAAGGGGACAGGTGCTGGCACTCCACTGGGGGCGGGGTGGGGAGGTCTGGGGTTCCCAGGTCATAAGATGGAACCCTTCCCTCAAAGAGCTCCCCCAGAGTCCAGCGAGGAGGCAGCTTACTGGCATGTGCATGGGAGAGACTCACTCAGACCGCAGGGGCTGAGTAAAACCCCACTGCTCACCAGAGCCCAGGGGGAGCAGGAGGGAAGGGGGTGTCTCGGGCAGCCCTGGGGGAGCAGGAGGGAAGGGGGTGTCTCGGGCAGCCCTGGGGGAGCAGGAGGGAAGGGGGGGAGCCCTGGCCAATGCAAAGACAATGTGGCCATATGGGAAGCTAAATTTTCTTTCCCCAGTAGCCACAGTAAAGAAGTGAAAAGAAATAGGTAAAATTAAGTGGAATAATATAGTTGTTGAGCGCATGCTGCCTGGTATGGAAGACTAATTTACGAGTCAGTTCAGTCACTCAGCAGCTCCACATCCAGCCCCCCAGGCGCGGGGACGAGATGGGGGCGGCGGGGGTGGTCCAGGCCGCACAGAGCTCCGGTCCAGCGGGAGGCAGGTCACTCAGCGGGCGATGCCAAACGCCCCTTCCACGCGAGGGGATGCTTCAGACACCCTAAGCACCACAACGTAAACTAGAATTTACAATTTAAATCACTTTTTAAAATATATATATATATTTTATTGATTTTTTGCAGAAGAAAAGAGAGAGGGATAGAGAGAAACATCGATGAGAGAGAATCATCGATCAGCTGCCTCCTGCACACCCCCTACTGGGGATGTGCCCTCAACCAAGGTACATGCCCTTGACCCGAATCGAACCTGGGACCCCTCAGTCTGCAGGCCGGACGCTCTATCCACTGAGCCAAACCAGTTTCGGCTAAATCACTTTTTGATACAAAGTCCTCTTGAAGCAGAAAATACCGAATGCGATTCGGCTCCTTTTCGGAGGCTTGGAGTGAACAAAGGACCATCGGATCTCCATGTGGGCGAGGACCCAGCGATGCTGGGGGCCACAGGACGAGGCGGACCTGCCTCAGAAGTGGGTGGACCCACTCACCAGCGACACCCAAAGGCCCCGGGCTTCCCTGCTGTCACCTGTCCCTGCGTGGCCCCTCACCCCGAAGCCGCCAGCTGCTGCTCTCCAGGGCAGGGCTCCTGCCTGGCAGCGCCCACGGCCTCCCAAGGGGCTGCTTCCCGGCTCTTTCCGCCTAAAAAAGAAGGTGCACACTTACCCGCGCTGCAGGTCAAGCAGGAGGCCCTGGCTTCTACCTGAGGGGCCTCCCGGGAGTGGAGGATGTGAGCGTAGGCCAGTGGTCGGCAAACTCATTCATCCGTAGAGCCAAATAGCAGCAGTGCAACGATTGGAATTTCTTTTGAGCGCCACATTGTTTAAACTTAAGCTTCTTCTAACGCCACTTCTTCAACATAGACTCTCCCAGGCCGTGGTATTTTGTGGAAGAGTCACACTCAAGGGGCCAAAGAGCCGCGTGTGGCTCTCGAGCCGCAGTTTGCCGACCACGGGCGTAGGCTCAGGGCCTGTGGCTGCTCCGAGGTCCCCTCTGCGTGCTCCCGGGATATCTGTCCTCGGGCTGAGGAGGGAGTGAGGTGCTGTTATAAATACGTAAGAGGCTTATTAATGGCTGGGCATGCCCGGACTAATTGCTTCCTCCTGTTTACATATAATCAATCACTTCCACGGGCGGGAACCACGGGCGGGGAGCGGGGTGGAGGGAAAACACGACCAACCGCACGCCACGGCCTCCGAGGCCTGGCTGCCCCACCGTCGTTCACGCTCCAGTCTTCTCTGTCCTGAAAAACCAAAGCATCCCTCTCCCCCTCTCACCCCTCGCCTGCTGCCGTCTCCCTCCCTCTTCACCTTCCCCGCAAGCTTCTTGAAAGAGCCAGCTACCCTCATGGATTCTTTCTCTCTCAGCCGCCCCTGGTCCATTATCACCTCCGCTGTCCCTTAACCATCAGCCACCCAGACGCCCCTCCAGGCTTCTCCGTCCCACGCCTGGCCCTCACTGGACACCACCCCC